AACATTGTGCAAACAAATGAATCAACACAAAGTTGAAAAACAAAATGCTGTTTCATCATTTTTCAGAAAACAATTGGTGGGATTGACAGTTTGGACATACCTCACCTGGGTATAGCAAACAACAGCACATTTATATTTTCTTATACAAACATTCCCAACAAAACGCTTATGGACTGAAATGAACCTTGGCCCCGAGCTCAGCCAAGAAGTGCTTTAGCTCTGGCCTCATCAGTTTTGTTGTGGATGATACGGAAGATTCAATATTCCTTTTAAAAACACTGTGCTATCTCTCTCCACTGTGAAAACCAAAGTCTAACCCTCTCCTGATAACAGACCAGAGGAGTTGATGGTCCGTTGATGTTATTGAGCCCAGATTACATCAACATTACCTCTATCCAGCGTTCTGGTTTGGACTACACATTTTTGGTGGGTTTTGAGAAATGCGCTAAAAAGTTCATGCTGGAACAAGAACGGGTCAAATGGCAAAACATGCGGAATTACCGGATTATCGTGGGTTTTGTGTTTAGAAAATAGAATTATGGTTGAGGTTGTGGGTTGCAAACTCTTTCCTGCGAATGTGTCCAGTTGGGGCGTGTAATGTTCGTTAAATTGGCCGCACTATAGGAGTTTGGGGGCGGATGTAGGCGGGAGGCATTACTGAATATCTCAACTAACCATATGTTTGTGTTCCAAATCGTTCCCATTCGGCTTTCCGAGCGTGACTGCATTTGTTTGTGATTCATCTCAGCTAATTCACAAGGGTAAGAACAGGGAAAATGATGTTATATGTACTAAATCTGTAAGAACTGCATTTCTGTGACTGCACTTGAGCGAGGAACCGCAGTCACAGCTCAGGCTTCCCATGTATTTTTGGGTTTGTAAAAGTTATTTTGATTTTGTGATGGTCCTTTCAATTAATCAGTTGATCCCGTAGAACACAGATATGAGCTTTTTACCAAAATTAAACACAGAAAAAGCTACAGTGAAGCTATAGTTTGGAAAATTGTAATGTGTCTATTTTTTTTTTTGCACAATCTGAGTGATTCTATTGATGCCAAATGTGACACGTAAATTCCTCCATTGTGAGATCGATAAAGTTTATCTTATCTTATTTTTATCGTTGAAATGAGATGTTTCTTGCTGCTGTTTGATTCTCTTGTTAGTTTGTGATTATTTAATCACTAAAAGAGTTGATTATTGTTGGGGGCGATAGTAGCTCAGTCGATAGAGCATTGGCCTATAGGCCTGAAGGTTGTGGGTTCAAGCCCACCATGAGACCATCTTCACGACTCCCACTGATGTCTGCTGTCGTTGTGTCCTTGGGCAAGACACTAAACCCCACCTTGCTGGAAGATCAAGGCTCCTGTGGACTCAGCACCTGCAGGAGGATCAGTGAGGGGCTGGTGCTCTGTGTACTGGGTGCAGCTCTGACTGCCACCCCCCCGACCCAGAAATGGATTAAGGGGAAGAGCATGAATGGATTATTGTTGAAAAAAACACTGATAACTTTACATTGTTTATCTTTTTTGGTAGCTTTATATTTACATGTAATCCTAAGACAAAGGAAGTCGTCAAAGTTGCATAGTGAAGATGTTTAAATAACAAAATGGTTGCTATGAATTTGTGGCTTCTATGTGTTTGTTCCGTTTGAACAGTTTGATTCTCTGATCTGTGTTAACAAATCGACAACTTTGTAAAGTCCTCCAAGGCAACCACTGTAGTGATTTAGGTCTGTACAAAAATACATTGCATAGAATTGAATTAGATTGAAAAAATGCAGACAAAAAGACATAACAGTGTATAGTCCCTGAATCAAAAAGTAGTCGGGGAAACAAACAAAAATCACAGAAAATAAATGTTAAAAAATGTGTGCTTTTTAAGACCACATAGTATTGAGCCTGCGTCCCTCTGAAAAAACAAAAACGAAAAAAAATGTGGCCGCAACTTAGATACAATGGGACAAAGTGGAGCCGTCCACAAGTGAAGCTTTTGTTCTGTGTCCCATTCAGTCCAATCAATTCAAGATGTTGTGTTCAAAGTTGAATGATGAGTCAAAAGTCGCCCAAACAACCTGTGAACGGAGGTTAAACTGCAGCTAACGGAGTCGTGACCCGCATCGGGACAAAACGACGTCTGTTTCTGTCTCTGCCGTTCATGAAATCAATCTATTCTCAATAAAATGTTGGTGGAAAATGCATTGGGTTGTTCATTTCCCAGCACCTTCAAATCCAAGTCTATTTCACGCGCTATTTATGAATCTGTTTAAAATAAAAGTGTCTGCCTAAAGTAAGATACAGGTTTTATTTTTGTTTTACAGAAGGACTTTGGTCACTCATTAAGTCTGGGTTTATGGATGCATCATTTAAAGCAGCACTGTGTAACTTTGTGGAAGTTTCCTGCAGGATTCACTGGAAATAAAAAGCTAACTATATTTCAGAAAATGATTCATGGAGATTGGATGGAAGATTATTATGGAAACAAAAGAGGAGAGAATCTGTGTGTCAACAGTTCATTGGATTTTCAAAATAAAACCAACATTGTAGTCAGTTAGAAATGTTTTAAAATGCTTATATTTTACGTTTATGGATGTGTATCTATCAATCTATCTATCTATCTATCTATCTATCTATCTATCTATCTATCTATCTATCTATCTATCTATCTATCTATCTATCTATCTATCTATCTATCTATCTATCTATCTATCTATCTATCTATCTATCTATCTATCTATTTAAAAATGAATAACAACGGCTGTTTTTGATTCTCAATATTTAAATGTAATGCAAGATTGAAATTTTTTGGCATCTCTGACTGCCACCCCCCTGACCCAGAAATGGATTAAAGGGTAGAAAATGGATGGATGGATGGATGGAACTACATTTAAACGTCGAGAATCAAAAACTTCCATCGTTATTGGTTTTTAAATGTTGTTTTTATTCAGAAAATCAAATGAACGGATGACACACAGATTGGAGAAGTCTTGAGCATGTATTTTCTATTTTTCATCAGTGCAATGAAACCAAAATAACATGCAAACCAACGATGTGTAAAACATGTATGAAAATTCATTTTAATCTTTTAAATTAGCAGCGCTTTAGGATTTTCTAGTTACATATTTTGTCAATATTATAGTGTATATACCACATTTCTTGGTTTTTTAAAGCCTAAAATCACCACATAAGTTGTCTCCAAGTACTTCACAATTTTTTTTTAGCAGTATAGTTTAGTTTAGTTTATTCACAATTATAAATATGCTAATTAAGATTAAGAAATCCTTTAGCCGTCCCACAGCAGGAAAAGTTCAGTGTTGCATTACCAGTTACAGAACAGTAGGAAGGAGAAGCACATAGCATGAGATAACTGAACAATAACTCTAAACTAAATAAAATAAAATCTCTAACTCTAGCATCAAAAGAAACAGGTATAAATTCTCTACCATTAGCATCATAAAGAAGTGTGACATGAATGATACCGCTGTTTAAACAACAAATGAATAAAAACAAATGATACTATTATTATTATGATAAGTGTTCTGGATCAGTCATTATGGTCCAAATCCCACAGAGAGTTTTCCTTGATGTTGCACAATGATATTTAACCACAGACAGATGTTCTCTCCCGCTAAACCCGTCATGCTAACCAGCTCTGACCGTCCAAACTGGTCCTATTTCCGCCGCAGAGGGACACGTCGTCTCCATAATCATGTCTTTGCTTCGTGTACAAGGCCCAAAGTAACGTCCGCGTCCTGTTTTCGCAGCCATTTGCCGTAATCACAACATTAGTTCCAGGGCCACGCTTTCTCGGGGCCCATTCGCCCATTGTACCCCCCCTCGGTAACACCACTGATCTGTGATGTCGTCTTTGAAGGAGAAAGGAACAAGATGGAACGGTCACTACAGCCAACGTGTGTGTGTGTGTGATGGCCGTGTGTGTGTGTGTGTGTGTGTTTTTTTCAACTCTTTCAAAAGTGACAAACCACATAATGGCTTCCAGACAATTTGTAGGTGTGTCGGTGCTAATACTCGTCATGGTGCGAAGGCCTTGAAAGTGTTTGGAGACAGTTTGGACGTGCCACAAAGATAATGACTGCGGGGGAAAAAGAGGTGTGTGGTTTGTGTTGGCGTCTCTTCAAATGTTCAAATACAAATAGTGATAATAATTATTCGGAACAATTATAAAGATAGGCTGATAGTGCTCTGCAAAAAGTGTCCTTATTTGATTTGAGTGTGCATTTTAATTGTCAAATAAAAATCATTTAAAAAAAAAGTGTGTTACCAGGAAAAGCACAACACCTAGAGAAAGTAAAGAATATACTACTATTACTGCTACTACTACTGTCACTGCTACTACTACTACTACTACCACTAATACTGCTACTACTATCACTACTACTACTACTACTACTACTGAGTTGAATTATTCAAAGGAACTTTAAATAACAAGATTGTATCCAAAAAAGAAAACATGTTTTAACATTTACTTCCAATTCCAGGCCATAACTTGCGTCACAACAACATATAAACATATTCAAGAGGATCGTTCTGAAGTAAGATTTAGAAAGTAAGGCAACATTGTCATTTTAAAAAGAAAAACATTAATTGTACCAAAGGGGAAGTATTCACTGCAATCTAAGTGCTGTGTCTGTGTGTGTACAAAAGCTCATGTGGATGTAAGTACAGTATTTGGAATCTGCCTTCTGTGACTTTGAATACATTGAAAGCAAAAAAAACCTGCTATATATTCTTCCACCCACTACTCACCTACTCACTACTTCAGCCACTACACACTAAGTTAGGACAGAGTACCTTTATTCATCCCAAAAAAGACAGTTCAGTGGGACAAATAACGGTTCTCACATCTTTTATGGCATTTCATTTACAAGCAATCTTAGCACAATTAAGAGACAACAATACACCTCCTATTATTTCAAGCAACTAAACATTTCAAAAACACTTTAGTCTGCGCAGTAGCCTCATCTCCAGTGTGTTTGAACCCACCTTGGCAGCAGCAGAGCAGCCAGGCGCCCCGCAACAGGTGACTGCAGGCTCCAGCGGACATGCTTCCTCCTCCTTTTCTCTTCATTCACACACCGCTCCGGATTAATAAACAAAACAAAAACCAACACAAAAACTCAACTTGGGTGTTGCGCAAATCCAGCTGTGTCAAAATGTCCTGCCAAACTCCAGATAATCCCAAGAAATTAACTTTCTAATGAGATGTTTTTTCTCCCCTCAGACTTAGGCTTCCATGATTGTCCAGGTCTGAGAGGACTGTCCCGGGTGAAGCATTCGGGTCTGCCTCTTATAGCTGAGAAAAAGGGAGGGGAAAAATAGGGAGGGGGTGAGAGAGAGGAGGGGATCTGGGCTGGAGACTTCCTAAACTAAAAGCCCAGGGGAGCTTTTAGAGCAAGGTGCAAAAGGGCAGTGATGAATGGGAGCCGGGAATCATATGCAGCTATGGGCTTCACTGCTGCACTTTTAGCAGAGGTTTACAGTCAGACACATTAACGTCCAGGGTGTTTAGTCTCACAGCGTTCATCCTGTGACAATTGTACACACACGAGGCCTGCAGGTGTTTATAAAAAATGTGGGGAAGAAAAAACATGTTAAAGAAAACACTCAATGATACTGTGGATCATTAGTATTTTGAAGTATACTACTACATTTATGATGGCATTTATAGGATTAATAAAGCTAATCATTTCTTAGACCAAAAAGTCTTGAAGTGACTCACAAGATGAAGACAGCGTGGGGCCGGATAAAAATCAGACCAAGATGTGGAACTGTTGGAGCAAACATTTATTATTTATGAGACATGGGTTTTTAGACTGCGAGACCTAAATGAGTCAAGGATGTTAAATAATACACAAAAAGTAATGTTTTGGTTGTTCAAATCTATGAACTGTTAAAGTGACAAAATAATTGGACCAAAATATTGACCAGAATGTCTAATCTAGTTCACCAACCACCACCAATCATTCATACACACACCAGACTCATACTCGTCAATGTGAGTATTATCTTATCAAGGTGAACAGTAATACGATACTATTGTTGTGTTTTCAACCAAACTATATTTGGCTTTACTCACTGAAACATATTGGTCACACATAGAACATATTGGTCAATCCCACCAACATTTATTTGTTTTACTTTTGAATGCGCTGGGAAACCGCTGCAAGTCCTGAGTAACTCTGAACCCGTTGTTGTTTTGTGCTTTACAATGTTTATTTTTATTGTTGTTTTCTGCTGGAGATGTTGCTGCAGTACAGTGTTCATGGTTTTGCACTGTTCCAGACCAGAGCAGAGAGGATTCATGGTCCGAACCAAGTGGATCAGAGGAAAATCCACTGGTGGAATGCTGACTTTTTGAAAAATCCTAATGAAGCATTTGGCATTTTACTTTTGACTAGAGCAGAGAAAATGATCCGAACCAAACGGCTACTCCACCCAGAGGCTTCTCCACCTCTGCTGCTGTGACCTGTCCTGCTCCACCCAGAGGCTACTCCACCTCTGCTGCTGTGACCTGTCCTGCTCCACCCAGAGGCTACTCCACCTCTGCTGCTGTGAGCTGAAGGACAGGTGCGCATTATTACTATTGTTATCTTTTTAGAATGATCAATTTTATTTTTCATTTTTGCTGCTAATGGACAACTGAATTTCTCCTATACGGGGATCAATAAATTATCAATCTATCTATCTATCTATCTATCTATCTATCTATCTATCTATCTATCAATCTACAGTATCTATCTGGTTTAAACAATTAAGTTGGTTTCCCATATCCAATAGATCGGTAAACCTCTGACCGATATTGTCTTTACCAGTAAGATGTTAACCTGTATGTGGTCCTCCCATCCATCTCCAATAAACCCTGCCTGGACCATAAACACGGACATGAACAAATTCTACTTTTCTTCTCAAACCTGTTATTCTCTTCATTTTTCAAAGTTGACACAGGGTGAAACATTTCAACCTGTGTTTTCTTAGCTCCACCGCTCCTCTATCCATCATCATTCTGCGCAGAGGCATAAGGAGGCCCTGACATCTCTGGTATCTCTAAATAGACTGTGGTCCGTGGAGTGTGTGTCAGGCTGGCAGCGGGAGGTCAAAAATGTTGTCAGAAATGTTCCATCTTCTTTGGATAGTTCTCCGAGCGAGGCCTGTAGCGTTTATATTGGACCCGAGGAGATGTTCCCAGTCAAAACTGTTGACAGTCGGCTCCATGGCTTCATACGGCGTTCGGGGAAAAATATGCTTCTGTTGGATGAGCGGAGGGAGTTTTCTCAATGTAGACGCAAATAAACAAAGAGAGTTGGAATGGTTTTATTTGGGACATGGAAGAAATACATGTGTCTGCACTTTATACAAATGTTCTCACCACATGAGGTCTGAAGAAGATCACAGCTAAGTGGATTTGTCATTTAATGAAGCAGAAAATGCAATGCAAAGTGTAAATTACTCCTACTTTTCCATTATATTGTGATAGTTAACCAGCCATCACACACTCAGACCAGAATAATTGTCACTGTTGTCATTGTTGTCATCCTCTTGAATAAAGGCTAAATAAAAAATAAAATAAAAAATGTCCTGGGTACTTGTAGATACAGTGGGCAAGCTATTAGTCCATTTTGGAGATGTCTGTATAACACACCAACTCACAGATTTTTAGCAGAAAGATAAAAAAAATAAAATAAAAATTCCAGTGCAATTAGACAACATCTGCTGAGTATTTACTATTTTTCTGGCTTTTTGTTACCCTAGATTCAGTTTCTTTGCCATTTGCAGTCCAAAACCATTGGCAAATCCGTGCATAAGCTGTCTTGGTTCAGGTTTATATCCTGTTTTAGTTTGTCATTTGTTAATCCATTTTCTTTAGTCCTACTTCCTGTTTCCTGATTACCTGCCCCGCCCTCATGTGTCTCACCTGTGTCTCTTTAGTCTGTTTTAGTTCTTGTTGTAAGTCCCTTTGGTTTTAATTTTGTGTTTAGTCTAGATTTTGTTTGGTTTTGCATTTTATTAATGCCATTATTTGTGCAGTTTGGGTTCATTTCCTTTTGCCACCGTTACATAAGCACGACCTGAAACATCGACATCCAAACACTAGAAGACAATACGTAAAACACACTAAGGGTTTATATGATTACCAATTCACACAAGGAGACAGAAGGAACTAAGTATTAAATTAGTGATTCAAGTTTTTTGCTCAATCTAATTACAGCTTGTGTAAATAAATTGTTGGTATGGTGAGATGTTCTTCTCCCGGAGGAAAGAAGCTGGAACATGGATGCATCAGTCCTCATTTCTGGTCATACTGAAACCTCTGGATAACCCGTGTGGTAAACCATGAATAAGGCATGAGCCGAAACTTGTAGAAAGCCATTGTAATTTAGCTCCATTTAGAAAAATAACAGTGAGGAAACTAACCATGTGCTTTAATTGGCATGGAGAATACGCTGTTATTCACATAAGATTTTATTAAATGACTCTGCGGAACTATTCAACTCTATGCACACAACTACATGCATTAAAAGACCATCAAAATAAATTGCTCTTCTTATTGTGTGTAAATGGACTGTGACACGGAGCTGCCCAGTCAATTAATCCACCCCAAAACTTTATTAAACCCGGTATTTTTATTCAAACTTCCACCTCAGAACATGAGAAAAGGTATCCCAGCAGTCAGTGCAGCCATCTGGTGTGATTCATTGCCTGCACATGTGCTTGGCCCGGCTCTTTGCTGACCGCGGCTGCAGAGGTAAAGGACAAGAGGAGGGCAGGGTGCCAGGTCTGAGCTGGCAGAAATCCCTCCTCCAGTGTGGCTGACCGTATGGCCCAAATGGCAACCTGTCAGAGGAGAGCAGCCTGAGTCATTCTCCATCGCAGTGTTTTATGTGGAACAGTAATGCATCACTGTGCTTATACAGTATTAACAGCGTTGTGCCAAATAGACATGGTCTGTGTGCGCCGGACGAGTTTTCCCACAACTTACTACATTACTACCAACTGAAATATCTCACTCAATACAGAATTAGTCTCATTTTTAGAGATGAGGGGAATATAGATTTTTGCAGACTGGCCTCCAAAAATGTACTGTTTGAACATATTTTTTAACAACAATTATTCATAGATCATTCCAGGTCTACATTTAAAGCTAGGTATATATATATATATATATATTTTAAACAATACAGGTGAGGGTTAGGGTTTTGTGTATAATAATTATGAACTACTACTACTATTCATACAACTGAATGATAGCACTGTGGCTTATTTTAATCCCATGTGTGATTGTGTGAGGTTATTTTTTTATGTTTTTAATGTTCTTGTGATCTTATATGTGTGTTTTAAAGGGATTGTAATTGTATATTTTACTGATTGTGTTGATTTTAATGTTTAGGATTTATGTAACATGGGTTGTGAGGCGCTTTGTGTTGCCTTGTGAAGGAAAGGCGTTCTACACATAAGTTGATTGATTGATTGATAATGATTTTATAACCATTTTTCCTCTACCAGCTTGAAGTCTTCGAAATGTTGACAGTATGTGAGAATTTGTATTGCAGTTCCCAAATACAGTATATCCATAATGATTTCTATAGACCGCTTTCATTATAATGTAGCATAAGCATTGAATCAGACATGTCAGGGATCTGTGTAAATATCTATGTCCTTCACAGTGATTAGGGACCCTCTCTTTCTCGCAGCTCGGCTCCCCCCCGCCTTGGCCCGGACCGGGGCAGGCTCCTGCCCCCTGCGTCTCAGATTGAAGGATTATCTGTTGATAATGGAGCAGTTTAAGATGGCTGACTTTGATTATCACTTATCAACCACGTCTCACTCAGTCACGCAAGGGCAAATGACCGCCGCCAGGTAAGATCACCTCTACGCTTTCACAAGATCATTTAGGGAACTCCATGTTGACAACCAGGCAACAAAGAACAATATACTTTGATTTGCTTATGATTTGATCCTATCCATAACTTTCTGGAGTTTGAATGTCCCTCGATTTTTATCTCAGAAAGTAACCACACAGGGAGAAACCAGCCTGATGTAAAGATCGGTATTTTATGGAATTTCTGCACA